TTTTGTTTCGATTCGAAAGAGACGAATAAGATTTTTATTTGCTAGATTATGCAAAAGGTTAATTCGTAGCAATATTTTGAAATTCTGTCTAAGAAAGAGTCGAGTGGAACTCGGTTAAATCGTCTCCGAGGGTTTCGAAGAAAAAGGGTATGAAAAGATGACTCGAGCACAGGAAGGACGGAGCTTTGCGTCTGCTCTTAAGGATCTAGGTGTCCCGATCCTATATAATGATAAAAGTTTCAGCCACGCGGCTCTCCTTTGGTCGCCGGTTACCAGAAATTCTGTATCGCAAAGCTGACAGCTGCGGAACAGCTTGAACCGTCTCGGTGTTGAAGATGGGTCGGGTCGGGTCGGGTTGTCTCGCGAGGCAACGCAAAGTCGGAGCCGACTTACCAAAAGCGGAATAGCAGAGGCGCAACGGAATTATCGCAACCGTGATAAATTGCACGAATAATTGAAGGAAAGCCTGCTTTAAGGAAAAATACTTTCGAGACTCCGGGGCTTTGATGAACAAGCCGGTTTCAAAGCGAATGCTCGGCGTTTAGCGCGTCACTCGCACGTGTCTGCAACGCTGCGGAATTCTTTTGGACCTCCTGGTTCCTTTCATTCGGCTCCTATTATCAACAAACGGCTTTCAACCGATCTCCGTCGAGCTCCTCGGCTCCTTTTGTCCCGTTTCGATCGAGCCAGGCGATTAAGGAACGCGAATACAAATAGTTAATAGATCCGGGAGCCAGCTACGAGGAAATTAGAATTTCGATAAAACGTTTGTTTATACTCGAAACCGCTTTAACCAACGAATAATAACAAGACGTTTCTTCTCGTTACGTGCCCGTACCGTCGAGGCATGTAATTCCGAAACTATTAAAATTACTACGAAGCGTTTCAAATACAAATTCGCTGGCTTCAAAGTTGCGCGCAGATCCGTGCCTGTTCGAAACTCTGCTCTTCGCTGGCGAAGGATCGTTAATCGGAATTATGTAACCTCGTATCGCAAGCAAGGTTCCTTCCATTTTTTAAAAAGAACAATAACCTCGGGTTCTGTGTTCGCTTTTCTGCGCGGAAACTGACGTTCCCCGCGTTGTCGCGTCAACGGATCGTATCCGTTGAACGACTCGTCCGGAAGATGGTACGAGGGAATCCGGGATAACTGTCCCAGTCGACGAAACGAGAACTGCCTCACCGAAAGGGTAGAGCGTTGTTCGCTAATTTCGCGATAATGGCCGGCGTAGTTAGCGATAAATTCGTCCCCCGGCTAATTTCCCTCGAACGCAAGGACACCGGAATAGCGTTCGACGACCGGCGACGTAGAAAATAACCATCGTTCCGCTATTCCTCGCGATGTCTGTTACAGGGTAGGGGGGCGAAAGGGTGGAGACGAATTCTCCGTGTGAACGAACGGGAAATGAGAACGATGACCGGGAAGCATCGAGGTAAATGGGAATCTTGAAAGGAATAGCGCCGGATTCGGTCCGTGACGGTGCTGATTTAACAAAGCATCTCCTGTTTAATGGACGCGATGCGCCCCCGGGAAGAAGGAATGCTCTCGGAATGCGAACGATAACTCTGTTTCCGCAGACCGAGGGTCGTCGCGGAATGAATTGTTCGCGTGACGCTGTCATTAGCGGATTGTTTCTCGGCGGACGCGATCCAGAGACGCGTCGCTCTCGGAAATGTTCTTAAACAGAATTTTTAGCAGCCTCTTGGAATCGCGGTGGTCTCGTCCACCGAATTCGATTCTTCTAAACGTTTGCATCGATTACTATGAAGGATACACGGTTAAATAAAAGAGAACATATTTCCTTACCCCGTTGCACTGTAACAACGAGTCGGTCTCGCGACGAAGATCTCTTGCATAAGTAATAATTAATCGCGACAGGACTTTCAACGAAATAAAAAATTCTTTTTTACTTGGAACGAAGTTTAATCTGTAATGTATTTTCCATTTTGTTCGACGACCTTTTGCCATCTCTCCGACAACTTGAAAATTCCACGCTCGTAGAAAGTCTGATCCCTGTCTCTTATACACATCTACCAATTCTGGTCGCTTTTCCTTGACCGCTGCATTCAATTTGCCCAGTTGCTAACATTCACGGATAATAAAAAATAACATAATAATAATAATAATTTTATAATATAACATTTACGGATATCATAAAAATGAGAGTGAGAGCTGTCTCTTATACACATCTACCAATTCTGGTCGCTTTTCCTTGACCGCTGCATTCAATTTGCCCAGTTGCTAACATTCACGGATAATAAAAAATAACATAATAATAATAATAATTTTATAATATAACATTTACGGATATCATAAAAATGAGAGTGAGAGCTGTCTCTTATACACATCTACCAATTCTGGTCGCTTTTCCTTGACCGCTGCATTCAATTTGCCCAGTTGCTAACATTCACGGATAATAAAAAATAACATAATAATAATAATAATTTTATAATATAACATTTACGGATATCATAAAAATGAGAGTGAGAGCTGTCTCTTATACACATCTACCAATTCTGGTCGCTTTTCCTTGACCGCTGCATTCAATTTGCCCAGTTGCTAACATTCACGGATAATAAAAAATAACATAATAATAATAATAATTTTATAATATAACATTTACGGATATCATAAAAATGAGAGTGAGAGCTGTCTCTTATACACATCTACCAATTCTGGTCGCTTTTCCTTGACCGCTGCATTCAATTTGCCCAGTTGCTAACATTCACGGATAATAAAAAATAACATAATAATAATAATAATTTTATAATATAACATTTACGGATATCATAAAAATGAGAGTGAGAGCTGTCTCTTATACACATCTACCAATTCTGGTCGCTTTTCCTTGACCGCTGCATTCAATTTGCCCAGTTGCTAACATTCACGGATAATAAAAAATAACATAATAATAATAATAATTTTATAATATAACATTTACGGATATCATAAAAATGAGAGTGAGAGCTGTCTCTTATACACATCTACCAATTCTGGTCGCTTTTCCTTGACCGCTGCATTCAATTTGCCCAGTTGCTAACATTCACGGATAATAAAAAATAACATAATAATAATAATAATTTTATAATATAACATTTACGGATATCATAAAAATGAGAGTGAGAGCTGTCTCTTATACACATCTACCAATTCTGGTCGCTTTTCCTTGACCGCTGCATTCAATTTGCCCAGTTGCTAACATTCACGGATAATAAAAAATAACATAATAATAATAATAATTTTATAATATAACATTTACGGATATCATAAAAATGAGAGTGAGAGCTGTCTCTTATACACATCTACCAATTCTGGTCGCTTTTCCTTGACCGCTGCATTCAATTTGCCCAGTTGCTAACATTCACGGATAATAAAAAATAACATAATAATAATAATAATTTTATAATATAACATTTACGGATATCATAAAAATGAGAGTGAGAGCTGTCTCTTATACACATCTACCAATTCTGGTCGCTTTTCCTTGACCGCTGCATTCAATTTGCCCAGTTGCTAACATTCACGGATAATAAAAAATAACATAATAATAATAATAATTTTATAATATAACATTTACGGATATCATAAAAATGAGAGTGAGAGCTGTCTCTTATACACATCTACCAATTCTGGTCGCTTTTCCTTGACCGCTGCATTCAATTTGCCCAGTTGCTAACATTCACGGATAATAAAAAATAACATAATAATAATAATAATTTTATAATATAACATTTACGGATATCATAAAAATGGGAGCGAGAGACATCTATAACTGAAATCGGCAATTACTTAGTTGCCAACCCAATAGTTTGCAGAACTTGTCTTCCCACGTTTTGCAGCTGATTTAGCATGCACTGTTTACGTAGTTCGCGCGCACCGCTATGGTGCTCCAGGAAGAAAATGGAAGCCGAGCAGTCGGCGGCTGTTTTGTTCCAGCGAAATGACAAGTGACAACGGTGAAATCGAATTTTATATTAGCAGCCGTATCGTGGAGTCCTGACGGCAGGCATCAAGGACGATATTTCACGTCGCGGCGGCATGCCAGCTAGCTTCTCTCTCTCTCTCTCTCTATTTTTCTAGATAGGAGCTATCGGAAATCTCTTATCCGAGCGAAATACAGGTTTCTGGACTCGATTTCCGCGAAACTACGCCCGATCCCGATGCATCTGTCGTTACCTTTATGTCCCTAAATATACCGTTTCAGCCCGGAACGAAAAACCAAACGGGGGCATTAGCATTTCTCTGGAAGTTCGTCGAGCCCTCCGGTTCCCTCGGTTCCGGAATTCCCAGCAAACAGACGGCTCGGGGAACTATCTCTGTCTGTGCCGCGACTTTCGATCCGATCGAACGACGCCGGCAATAAATGTCACGGATCACGCGCGAGATCGCTGCGAACCAGCCAGACACCGCTCTCGCGTCTTCAAAGAGGAAGAAACTCTCTTTCTCTCTTCTATTCTGTCTCGAGAGAAAGGATCCGTCCGATTTCTGTTCGACTTCCCACGAGGAAACTATGTATATCGGCGTAACGAATGGGGTATTGGCTGGTCCGCGAAAGGATTCGCCGTTCTTATCGCGCGCCACTTTCTTCCGAGGAAGAATCGTTATAAGCCCTGTTAAATCCCGGATTATCGAGTCCAGGGGGAGCCGTCGACACGAATTTCTTTCCAACCGATTTCCATAGAAACGTCTCTCAATTTCGAGCTCTGGTATTTGCGGCGACATTTCATTCGATCCGGATCATTCGCTAATTTATCGCTCGAAATAGCGGCGCGTATATTACCGCTGCTCAACGGTAAGACATTTTTACGGTTTTCAAGCTGCTCGCAACGCTTCGCACCCTTCGGCTACCTAGAATTCTAATACTTTATACAGTTTTAAGGCGACGACGATTTTATTACGCGAACTGTGCAAACTTTTGTTACCGTGTAAATTACAAAAATTGCGTTGCGATGAGATACGTTTTTTAACTCACCGAAACCTCTCGTCGGTACGTTTCCAGAGCGTCGTCCTCGAGATGAACCGTCTCGGAATGATGGTGGACCTGTCGCACGTCGCCGTGCCCACGATGCTCGTCGCCATGAGGACATCGAGAGCGCCGGTGATCTTCAGCCACAGCAGCGCCCATGCTCTCTGCAATTCCTCGCGAAATGTGCCTGACCACGCGCTGCGACATTTGGTGAGTTACCAGCGCCGATTTTCCTCCAATTTACCATTCTGTATTCAAGAAGAAACCTGCAACTATAAGAACACCGAGTCCGTAGAACCAGCAAAGATGATCCATTTCGCATTTTTTTTTAAAGTCTCTTCAATAGGTATTAAAGTTTTTTAAAATCTCTTTAATGGGTCTTTATTAGTCTCTTTAATAATTTGATTATAAAGTCTCTTCGATTTCCTAGTTCGTTACAATAAAAACAACAAGATGTCTAAATAAACTCAGCGTTGGAGCTGGATGAAATTTAGTTCTCGGCACGCGTAGCGTCAAACTATCGCGCTTTATTCGCGCGGTTACGAGCAGCCGAGTCGCTTTTAACGCGCTTTCATCCTCCGCATCGAGAAATGCGAACGCTAACTTTTCTATCAGCGTTTCTCCCTGTAATCAAGCGGGTCTTTAAAAGATACGAGCCGCGCTAGCCGGTCTCTATCTCGCAGATTTGTTATCCCGTAAACCGACGGACCCGTTGCAACAGTTGCCGAGACGTTGCTGCACATTCGAGTCGTTCTCTGTTTCAGGCGCAGACCGATGGTATAGTTATGGTATCCTTCTACCCTCATTTTATCAGCTGCGGCGAGAAATCGACGTTGGAGGACGTGGCCGGTAAGAGCTCTCGCGAAACTCGTTTCGCGATATGTCACGACCGTATACCGTTTCGCTCGAAATAACTCAGTAATTTCTACCAGAAGCTTCTTCGGACACACACCGCGAAAGCGTTTCGACATGACACGCGGGAAAGAGAGACAGGCTCCGTGCCAGACGGGAGATTATTAAATCGTAGTCGTCCCCGCGGTTCTTTTCCATCGAATCTCGATGGGTCCGGCAGAATCTTAAGCGCCCGATGCTCTCGCCGAGGCTGCGTTTCAACGACACCGACGATTCGGAATCGCGTCGTCGACGTCTTCGTTGGCGTCCGACGAAATTTTTAACGTTCGCCGACTTTGCGCCGATCGGAACCGATTATCGGTCAGACGTTTTATCATCGGCGAACAGCGTTAAATTGTTTACTCTTCTAACGAATTTCACGCTTACACAGCTTCCGCGGGAATTTTTCAAGAGCTTTCGAGCCGAACTTTTTGCGAGGCAATTATGGAGATACCAGGAGAAAGAATACACGCCTCCGTGGCTTGTCGAAATACTTTCGCGAACGACTGTAACGGGTTATCGATTGTTTTATGACGTAGTTCAGTAGTTTCGAGTAAATGGAGTGGCGAAATCGATAAAGGAAAATAATGGAAAAATTCTTGCGCGTGTTTACCGCGAGCCAAAGTTGCGGAACCTCTAGTCTCTTGCGCGATAAAACGCGGATACGCGAGATTAGTCTCGCAACCGCTACGAGAAAAATATGAAACCGTAGAAAAATTGCAGAACGGTGCGCGTCGGCGATAATTCGTCGACTCGCCGGCCCGATAAGTTCGATTACAGTCGCAAACCTCTGCTCTCTAATTAATGTGAAACCTGGTCTTAATAATTATGGCCAGTAGCGCGCCCACGGTTCGATTTCGTTCTTCGTAACTTCATTATTATACCCCGTGAACAAACTTAATTAATTGCGTCGGCACGAAGTTCCAAACGAGTCCGAGTTAAAGGCAAAGAGGGAAACTTTCTCCATGGAAACACGAATTGAAAATATCCCAAATATTTTGACACGTTTCATCGGGGGAAGTTGTAGAACTTTCGAACGTTATTGGATGTTTCTTAAATTAATTTAGCCATCCTTTTTTTCGAATTCACCGCGAACGAACTGCTCTTTATTTATTCCGTTAGAAAAAGACGAATCGAATTTTCGGACTCCGAATCGTTCGTATTTTCAACTCCGCGCGCTTTCGAATGAGACCGAGGGAAGAGGAAATCCACTTTTCACGCTCGAAACAATCGGCAAAAATCCCTTTCGCGGACGTAATCCTCTTTGCAAACGCGAGACGGCAAACCGGGAGCGTTGCAATCAACGTCAAATGGTATCCATGTTTACGCGGCCACTTTTTCTCATCCAGCCCGATGAAATCTGCCGGAAGTCGCGGCGCGGCGCGGCGTCCGATAAAGAAACACACCCGGTAGAGCAGTCCGGCCTTATGTTTCCGAGCACACAGAGACGGGAATCGGTCCGGTTCGGCGCGATAAAGTTCCTCGGCTAATTCTTCCCCTTTTCTGGGCCAATCGAGGCTCCCCTTCGGCCTCCGACCCACGCGTATCGTAGCTTTGACCGCGCCGCTATCGCCGTCCCATATTCCAGGATAAAAGCTAATTGAAGGGGACGCCGGAATCGCGTCTAAATTGTTCTTTTTTTCCTCCCCCCGCCGCCGTTCCCCGTTAATACGGTTTCCTACGGCTAAGCTGCGGATTTCGTTCGGCCGGTATCTGGAGACCGAACGTCCCCCCGGACGTCCCCGCCCCGGAATAGGGATGCGACACCGCAGAGAAGATCCCCCGGATAACCGGCAATTTTCTTATACAGCGAGCTTGTTCTCGCCGGGACGTTCGTTCGGCTCCTACGAATGTCGTGTAAAGAGCAATCGCGAGCGAATGAACCCGCGGGAGACTAATGGCTCCGCAGACTCCGGGGGCGAGAACAGGCCGATACCTCGCGCCGAAGCAAATCGATGCCCCTCGCAAATATATCGCCCTCCGTCCCGACACCTATTCGCTCTCTCGCCCCGGAACAATCTCGGGAAAATTAGAAACGCGTTAGCCACGATTTCCCTTCGTCGCCGCACTTCCTCCAACGATACACCGCCGAGCGAAATCTTTCGCGCCCCTCGAGTCATCGTCTATACAGCTTTGCCATCGTTTATATCGCTTTAGCCGTCATTTATGTCGCTTCGGTCATCGTCTATACCGCTTTGGTCGTCGTTTATGTCGCTTCAGTCATCGTTTATACCACTTTCCGAGCATTCTTCTTGCGTCTAAGCGCCAATCTCGCGCGATTCTCTCGTCGGTGGATCGTGCATCTTTACGCGAATTCGGTCGAACGACGTGAAAACAATTTTAACTGAAATTAAGATTACGCGTCCTGTCACACGTTTCCCTTTGAAACTCGTCGGTATCATTCGTACTCGTTGCAACGCGCGTAGACCACGGCTGGCAAAGACATTACCGTAATCCAAAGGATGCGATAGTTTCGTTTGAACCGAGCCTCGCTCGAAGATCGCGACGAGAAAAGTAGTTTAATTGTGCCGGGATATGCGCGGCGGTTCGAGAGACCAAGAACTTCGCGTTCTTGGAATCTAGCTGAAAATGGGTAATTTCATGCTGGCTCACGTTCTAGCGACCGCTCGCTATATTTCGGAAGCGCGGCCCTCGAAACAGGTCTCGATAATATTGCGACCAGCTTGATTACCATCTCTGGTTATGATCCATCGATACGTACGTACGCAAACGTATTTCGCCAATGGGGAACGACAATTTATTTCTGTTGAGGATTGTCGAGCGAGGGTTTTATAGCGGGGGGCCATGTGCTTGGGACCCGTGAAACCGGCTAGGGTATGGGCCTGTCACCCGCTCCATGACTGAAGGGAGTTTTCCGGTCGCCCCAGGGCACATGGCCCACACTCTTGGCCATCGGCACTATTGCCCGCCATAAACACTGGACCCCATAGCGCGCCGCGGGTCGCGGAAGACGGCACGTCTTGAGACAACGGGCAATTTGGGAAATGGTTTGCAGATGTCGGGAAGTTCCCGGGCCCATGCGCGGCCTCGAACTCCCGCGCAAAGATGCGGTACTGCCCCTTCTTAGGTCCCAGGCGTTGTCTTTCGGGCTCGTCGCGATTGGGCAGCTTTCCTCAACATCCACCCCCAATTTACTAGGGTAGGGAGGACCGAGGTGTCGTTATGGGCGAACCTCGGTCTACAGATCAGATACCTTTTGGATACCGTTTAGATACCTTCGATACCTCTTAGATACTTTTCGAAACTCGCAACTCAACATTCTGGTATCTCCGCCGGAGAGTGTAAATAAATTGTTTTGCCTCACTCACGGTGTAAAGTTTGTTCCTCCTGATAGGGGAGGTGGTCCTTCGAGTATTCACTAGTCGACACAGTACGTGTAAATTTCTCAAGGCTCGAACGATCGCAGGATCGACCACGAGCATTAACATTTGGTCCTTCGAGCCGGATACTGTGTGGGAAGGTCCACACAGTCCTTGACATTCTTGGAAGACTTGGCCGTCGACTTGCACATCCAGTGAGGCGCCTGTGTGTGAGGACTTGGCTCAACACCCCCCTGGACGTGATAGCAGCAAGCGGCGTGCATCTTCAAGGGTTGCATCGATCATCGCACTTTGGGTTTCCCTGACCACGGAAAGGTAGCTGCCTGAACGCATCGTTGCTGCCCGGACACGACGATCACATCGAGAGACGGGCTGCGGAACCTGCTTGGAAACGCCGATACAACCCTATCCTATCGTAAGTCAGTTCCTCTAGCTTCATTTGTGTGTTCTGACCGTGGTACATTATGGAGGCTTCAAAATCACTAGTTGCCGAGCGCGGAGCCGTAAAGGCTAAGTTAACAGTCTTTAGAAGGTTTGTCGAGTCAGCGGACGTTCAATCAGACCCGGTGGCATTCGAAAAACGCGTTCGGGCAAATGAAGACTTATTCCAGAAATTCGATCGGGTACAGTCGCTAATAGAGGCAACGGTACTGGACACTCCTAACGAGGAGGTCCAGCTTGCGGAGCGCGAGCAATTTGAAGATACTTACTTCAGGACTCTTTCCAAAGCGGAAACTAGACTGGCTCAGGCGCGAGGGTTGGAGCCTGGGACGGTAAATCGCGCTTCCCCAGCTCCATCAGATCCTCACATGGCGCGTCTGCCTATCATAAAGCTTCCCAATTTTAGTGGGGATTTCAGTCACTGGATTCGCTTCAGGGACACATTTGTTTCCTTGGTCCATGATTCGGAAAGACTAACCGACATGGACAAATTCAATTATCTAGCTTCGGCATTATCTGGGCCTGCCGCCCAAATTATCGAGTCCTACAGTGTCTCGGAAGCGAATTACAGATTAGCTTGGGAACGACTGAGAGAGCGTTTTGATGACCCCAAAAATTTAATATCGCATCATGTTGGCGCAATTCTAGATTTAGAGCCATCTAAAAGGAAAAATGGCAATTCTCTTACAAAATTCATTGATACCGCGGTTAACAACGTACGGGCGTTGCAAAAAATCCTAGAGCCTCCGGATTTGTGTGAGGCTCTCATTAATGGGATTCTTTCGAGGAAATTGGACAGCCTCTCCCTGGATGATTGGGAGAAGCGTGTCATGAATTCGCCCACTATGCCAACGTTTCGCGATTTATCGAAATTCTTGGAGCAACGGGCTCAATATCTGACGCGAAAAAATCCTGATGGGCCGTCCGAAGGCCATTCGCCGCTAGAATTTCGGAAACCTACCAAACCGCGTGAAGGTGCCAACAGATCATATGTCGCGTCTTCGCACATTGTAAGTAAAACTAATAAATGCGTATTATGCGGTGATGAGCACACGCTCCAATATTGCCCCAAATTCTTGGCCATGCCTTTCTCTGAAAGGCATGACGTGGTGAAGCGCGCGCGAATATGCTTCAATTGTTTAAGTTCAGGGCATGGTGTTAAGGCGTGCAACCGTT